CTGTCACTAATAATTTTTTTTAGGGGGGGGGGCAAAATGGGGGGTACAAAAAATAATTGGGGGAGGGGGCATTTCCCCCCCCCCCTTGCCCCGCCACTGCGTGCATGGGAAAACAATTACTGCGATTTTGAAGCAATAAATTTTTTTTGGCAACAACTTGCAGTGAAAATTGTCTTGTACTTAGTATTCAAATTAAATACAATATCTTACAGTCGAATAAGCGATAGTACTTTATTGAACGATACTTTCTGAATGAAAATAATAATAAAATCTTTTAACAAAATTAATATTTTTCTTTCTTCTTTGGATATAATATGTCATTTGTGCAGAAGGGAGGGTCACAAGAAGTGGAAATGCCCACTTCGCCCGAAGTCAAACAGCAGAAGAGGGAGCAGGGGTGGGAAAAGAGGGGGGGACAAAAATGTAAAGATATATTTGTGAAAAAAATATATACACTATTGTAAACTTCCGACAGGCATTATGCAAATATATATATGGTATCACCTCCTTGTGGTATGTCCCTCAATACGTTTACTTTACCTGCATAATTTGTGACCAAATGAAGTTATGAATTAGGAAAGAACAGATTACAAAAATCCTGCATGAGCATCCTTTCCATTCAGTCGGGGAATCTACAGCCGTTGTTTATACATTGATGCCACCCAAGTTTCAATAACCGGTGGAAAGAGATAATTCTGTACAACATATGAAAGTCTTAAAAAATCCTATAGAATAGCAGCGGAGAAATTTACACTTTAAAATGCTATTCTTGACAGTGTGTGCGTGCTATATATCTATAATCAGTATTGTCTTACAGTTAATACAGTACAGAATGAGGCCGAATTTCGATTATTTATAGACTGATGCCACCCAAGGTTCAATAACCAGTCGAAAGAGGAGATAATTCTGTACAAGATATGAAAGTTTTAAAAAATCCTATAGAATAGCAGCGGAGAAATTTATAGTTTAAAATGCTATTCTTGACAGTGAACGAACATATTATAGATAGGGGTATTGGGTTACCTGTGGGTAACAAGCCTGTTCGCGGGCGACCTGAGTATCAGGAAAAACAACGAACATGTGAGACTTTGTGACGGAGAGTTTTGTGTAAAAAGTGGGAGTTTTTA